CATTTTTATACAAACCCTAATTATACAATCTCTCAATTTCTCCCTCTCTCTATCCTCTCTCTCCAGGGGCTCGTCAACAAGTAGAAGGCGGTTCCGACTCCGGCGATCACTCGGATACTGGTAGCTCCGAGACTTGTGTCCATGTCTACTCTTCTTCATAGCATGTGACGGCTGATGCGGCGCCTTGTAAATTCCTAATTCTCTTGGATCCTCCGGCACCGATAAATTCAACCAAAATTTAGCCCTAGACGCCGCCGACTGCGAACCTAAATCACAAGCGCTCGTCGGAAAAAGCTGTAACTCATTACCACTATTATTTTTATTATTATCATCATCATCATCATTACTTTAATCGTCAAAAATTTCTATTATATTTGTTTTCAGGATGGAGAAATTGAGAGTTGAGAGCGAGTTCCTGTGGGTGGAGCTATTGGTGTCTTGTTCGTCAACAGCAGCATTATTTTTGGTGGCAAAAATGGTGGTTGAAGTTATGAAATCACCATCTGCGATGGTGATGATCGGAGTAATTCCCATTTTTCGGTGGTAATCAGTTTCATAATCCCACATGCTAGAGCCAACTGATACTGTTGCCTTAATATTTAGATCCAGCATCTCATCTCTCTCTCTCTCTCTATATATATATATATGTTCATATATCTACTTCTAAGATCAGCGAGAAACGAAGCAGATCTGTGGTGGGCGTGGTGGTCCGTGTGGTGGTGGTGGTTTGTGAGATATGCGAGAAGTGAAGCAGATCTGTGAGATGAGATGGTGGTTGTTCTGGGGTGATAGTGGTAGATCTTGGTATTGGTGGCAGTAGTGGTGGATCTTGGTGTTGGTGTTGGTGGTGGTGGTGGTGATGTTGAGATGTTGGTGGCGATGAGCCTGTCGAGGTGGTGATGGATTGGTGCGAGGATATGGTGGTGTTTTCTGCGATGTGTTGATTTGTTTGAGGTGGTTCTAACGATGATGGTGGCAGTGGTTCTACTGGAGGTGGTGATCACAAGTTGGTGGTTGGTGGTGGTCACAGATTATTTGATCGTTTGTGGCCATTAAATTGGTTAATATGTGGCCAATTAACAATATGTGACCAATGAAAGATAAATTGTGATAAAAAAATAATGTGTGACCTAAAAAATTGTTAATTTGTGATCGATAATTTGACAATTTGTGACTGTCTACTAAGTTGTGATGTATAAAAAATTTTCTTTGTGACCGATGAACAAATTTTGACTTATAAAAATTCTAAATTGTAGCCGAAAAATAATTTGTGACCTATAAAATTTTTTATTTGTGACCGCAAAATAATTTGTGACTTATAAAAATTTTAAATTGTGATCGTATTTGTAACTTATAAAATTTCTAATTTGTGATCGATGAACAAATTGTGACTATAAAATTTTTGAATTTTGACCGTAAAATAATTTGTGAAATATAAAATTTGTGATTTGTGACTAATCATATAGAATTTGTGAACAAATTATATGGAATTGTGATCTTAATATATTTAATTAATAAAATATATGTTTAATTAATTTATTTATAAATAAAATTTTAAAAAATTTGATATTTTAAATTTTAAATCTTAAAAAATATGAAATTTTAAATTTTAAACGTTCTCTCTTAAATTTGAAATGGGTTAAACTTAACCTCTTAGCCTCTGTTTGGTACCCATTAAAATTTTCATTTTCATTCTTCTACTCATTTTCAACCACACATTATTCATTAAAATAATATTTTCCATCACATCAATAATTTTTCCTTCTTTTTCAACCACATATTCCCTATCAATCTACTATTCTAAAATACATTATTTCAAAATAATATCTATCAAACACACCCTATGTAATGATATCAAAACAATTAGTCAAGATTCAGAATTTGCCAGAAAAAACGGAAATTTGGTAGCAGAATGAAGGAATCGAAAAAAATTTCTACTTATTGATAGGAAACTGAAGGCCTGAACAATATAGAATGCTACCAAAAAATTTAATACAAAAGACCAAAAAAAAATTAATTTCTCTTGGAAGTTGGAACTCACACAATTGTTTGAGGTATTCACAAGTACTTGGAGCAAAACACAAAATCTATAAACTCGTATATATTATAATAAGAATTAAAAATCATATATTTATATGACATAATTAGAGATATAATGTTAATAATTTATAGGTCTCACGTACACTTTATTATTTTACGCTAGACTACATTACACGCACATAAAATTTATATTATCGACTAGTGCACATTCAATTGAAGATGGTATAACTTGTATAGCAAAATGTAGTTTAACCTGTCGAGACAATCTATCGGGTTGGTTGTGTCAAATTCATAGACTCCTCTCTATTGTGGTTAGTGGGGCCCACAAATTTTGTCCTCTAACTTTCCAAATTGATAACCATATGTCAACGGTATAGGCCAGCCTAGCGTACGTGACATGACATTTTCAGTAGGTACATACTAGAAACAGTGTCGCGTTGCAACTTGCAAAGGAACAAAATCCATCAAAGTTTAAAAGTTGATTTAACTGTTGAACCACTTTTTAGTGACAATTATCTGAAATAATTAGTTAGTTAGTAAGGAATAAATAAATTGAATAGGCATTATGCTACTTATTATTAGTTTGTTGAGGGGATGGTCCCTCTTGTCCAACCACATAATTGAGTTAGAGTATTAAATTGTTTAAATTGAACAACATTATTACAATGGTTCAATCTCGTAGAGACGTGATGACGTATTTAATGAATTAGATGTCATTCATCGCCAATGATTTAACATCTTTATGATTCGTTTGTAGTTTGTCACGAGTTGTGTCGAGTTTTTTCTATGTTATTATTTACACTTCATGTATGTGCATATGTTGTGCTCTAGGCGTGTGCACGTATGGATTCGAGAAGTGAGCGTGCTCCGTTCATGTATGTGATAATGATGTATTTGGTACATTAAATTAATTAAGCATAAGTAAATGCAATGATTGATTAATATTCATCACAACCACTTGCTATCTTATCACTCGCACGTAAGTTACACTAGTCATCTTGCATTCTTTCTATGAATTGGATATAATTAAATAAAAAGATTGATTAATATTCATCACCGAGCATTTGTCATCTTATCACCTACATGTAACTTTCTACATTTTCCTTATTAACGCATCGTGTATGTGAATATGTTAAGCTCTAGGCGAATGTACCTAAGAATCACGTTTATCCCTGGTAGAGAGCCACTCACTCCATGCGTGTACGTCATTATTACATATTCGATACATTGAATTAGATACATTCAAGCACAATCACCAATTAATATTCATCAACAACCATTCATCATTTTATAAGTCGCGTATAACTTGACCCATTGTGTCATTTTCATTCTATGTCATTATTTATCACACCACGCAGGTGACTATCTTATGCTCTAGGCATATGTACAAATTGATGACTCATCTCTCAAGATCAAAGCCGCTCAACATTTATAATTATAATGACATATCCAATACACTGAAAGTTATATTTAAACATGATGACTCAATAATTTTCATGTCAATTGCTCACCACTTTCTCAACGGCATAGAAATAGTCACTAGTCACGTTTCGATCTTTCTACATGTTCCTAATTATCAAGTCGTGCATGTGTGCACATTAAGCTCTAGGTTATTTGTACATACCAATCACACCTATCTCGGACAGAGAATTGCCCACATGGCATTTTCATCATCAACCAACATTCATCATCTTACCTTTCGCACACAACTACTCAATCTCGTCACATTCATTATATATATGATTATTATTACGTCATACATTTGAGCATGTTATGCTCGAGCAATATATATCATATCAAGAAAAAAGTGTTTCATTAATTTTGTTAAATGTCATGAGAATATACATACATTTGTATAATTTTTCCCACATAAGTGGCATAAAGTAAATAATAATGCAGTGTCGAATTATTCTCAAATCTTTTGAATATTGCAAGAAGATTAATATTTTTTTATACTTTTGAAAAAAGAAATAATTATAGAGTAATAAATTAGACTTAAGATCGAGGCGCATGCAAATGCCTCATTATGCTGTCCCACGCAAAACCTTCCCATGCTTCACTTTCGTCAATGTCGTTTCTCCCCAACATTTACCTTCATACCCTTTTCGTTTCAGCAATTTACACTCTTGCCACTCACCATTTTTTGACAAAATTTCTCTTTTATCACTATAAATAAATATTTGTCTCGTGTCAATATAATATTCTAAAAAGATCACACGAGACAAGAATTGCCAGTTCATTCAAGCTAATATTAATCTATTAATAAATAAAATAAAATGAAATGAAATAAATTTCAAGAGCCATTCAAAAATATAAAAAGTTTGATGGGGATTAAAATTAATTTTTTAATAGATTGTAATAGAAGTTTTTGAAATGTGTGATTGAAAAGTTGTGGAACCCATAAAAGACGTGGTTAATATTGATTGTTTGACTTGAATTAAAATCAAATTTTAATTCGATCCAAACGGGAGCTTAATAAGTTTTATAAGCAGTATCGCATACGATTGAATAGTAATAAATAAAAAAATTATAATTTAATTTAATTTTATTTTTTCTTGGCACGGTGCTTTTAGCCGTCAAAAGGACATTTTAGTCATTACAACAGTCCCCATTTGAAAATACTATAATTTACTGCTGCAGTCTGTACGAATGGATATGCGTGTTTAGCGTGTCAGTGTGATATATACGTAAGTATAGGAGGGGTGGGGTGGGTGCAGTTGGGTGTGGCAAAGAACCAATGAAAAACACAGAAACAAACTGGCAATACAGGCAAGCCAGCTGAAAAATCCAATCCAAATAAAAGGCTGCACCGCCCCTTTTTTCTCCTGTTCCTTCAATTACCTTTACCAACTCCCTTTTAATTCATTGCCCCAGATCCATTCTCTCAAGATTTATACTGGTAGACTTCTATATACATTTATAATTGTAATTTATATGTACTGGCATGATGTTTGTGTATGATTCCTGATGAAAACTTCGGAAAGTGGTGATTTTTGAAGAATCATGATAACAGCAACTCAGTTTGTATTTGGAAGAATCAGACTGAAAGCTTGGATCTTGAATTGAATCCTTTTTAGTACACTGTTTTTATGAATTATTGAATCTCATTTTGTGAAGGGTGACTTAAGGAATTGGAGGCATGCATGGAGCAAACAACTTGTTATGTGAAAAAAGTGCTTTTTCTGGGTTCCTTGAGGAAATATATATATATTTTTTTCTGTGGTGATTTGATTTTTGGGACCTTTTCTTCTCGTGTTTGGTGCTGAGCAGAGTACCACCGTTGTGTGCGTTACATACCAAGGTTTCTTGCATTTTGTGGTCAATCCATTTAAAAATATTGAAATTCCCTCTGAAAACTGCTCACTTTTTTTCCTTCTGGGATACATAATTTATGGGTTTCTGCTAAAAACCTTAGAATTCTTGATTCTCGTCTGTTATTGAATAGAAGGAAAAAGAACAGGATGGGTTCTTGAAAATAGCCCTCAACTATTCTGAATTGTTGTGAAGTGAGCAGAAGGAAATTTAGGTGGGTGGGTGGGTGGGTGGGGGGTCTGATTATTGGATTATTTAAGATTATAGCTGTGGAAGATGTCAATGTCCTGCAAGAATGGTGGCGCCCCCACGTCCTCGACCGGGAGTATGGATAATGGGAAGTACGTGAGATACACACCGGAGCAGGTTGAGGCCCTTGAGAGGCTGTATCATGAGTGTCCTAAGCCAAGCTCCATTCGCCGCCAGCAGCTTATTCGTGAGTGCCCAATTCTCTCAAATATCGATCCTAAGCAAATCAAAGTCTGGTTCCAGAATCGAAGGTATATTCTGAATGGAAACTGGCTTTTGAATCTTTAGTTAAAGTTAAGTAATATGTAATTCGCCTGTTTTTCCCTTATACTACAACTTTTGGATTAGATATAATGAATTATAACTTGTTTATTAATTTAACAAATCTGTAATAACTCTGTGATTTAAGACTGTTGGGTTTAATTGCATTTGTGGGGAATTAAAGAAATAGTACTAATTGGATCATAAAAAAACTTCAATTGATTTTACATTAGGGATGATATTCCAAATGTCTTTGATGTCGAATAAATTATCAGCTGCAACTGGAATTATTATGTATATTAGAGGGTATTGAATTGTCATTTTGTGGAAATATAGATGCAGAGAGAAACAAAGGAAAGAGTCTTCAAGGCTTCAATCGGTGAATAAGAAGTTGACAGCCATGAACAAACTCTTAATGGAAGAGAATGACAGATTACAGAAGCAGGTTTCAAATTTGGTGTATGAAAACACGTATTTTCGCCAGAATGTGAGAATCTTTAATTAATTAATTTCCCTTTATGCATTCTTAGCATTGTCCATCTACACAAAATTGTATCTTTATTCCTTTAATTTGATTTCATAACATTAATTGTGTGGTTTTTATTCCATTGCAGAATGCACTTTCTACAAAAGACACAAGTTGTGAATCAGTGGTGACGAGTGGTCAACACCACCACTTAACACCTCAGCATCCGCCAAGGGATGCCAGTCCTGCAGGGTTAGTGGGGTTCTGGTTACTTTTTCTTTATACAACATGCTTGGCTGAGCTTAGAAGTAAGTTGAACTTACTTTTAAGTGGTTTTTTTTATCCAGGCATGTTTAGATAGGAGATTTTTTAAACATGAACAACATATTTATTTTCAACTCCGAACTTCAAAAATATGAAAATTTACTTATTGACTAAGTAAAATTTTTTAAGCTTAGCCAAACATGCACATAGTATAGATGTTGTATCAGGCTTTGTGGTCCACTGCATTGTTGTGTGTGTTTGTGGGTGGCTTATGGAACTCTGTATGCTTTTTGTATTTTCCCCAGGCTTTTGTCCATTGCAGAAGATACTTTAACAGAGTTTCTTTCAAAGGCTACTGGAACTGCTGTTGAGTGGGTCCAAATGCCTGGAATGAAGGTACAATATCTCTAGAGTTTATCAAAATGTATTTTTTACTAATAACGAAAAATACACTGCCACTCCGGTGCACACATATGCAACACTCATAGATTCTGCATCCTTTGTAACAACATTCGGGAAAGAAATTATTTTCTTTTTTCCCTTCTTTTTTTGGTTAAGATTATGTACTTAAAATTATAAAAAAGTATTTGTGTTAACGTGAGTGCAATTTAAGAAATATATTTTCAATTCCTAATTCCTACTGATAGGTGATGTAGTCAGTTTGTTTCACAGGTTTATTAAACTATATTAAAGACACATTGCATGGCATGCTATTCAAATGCATTTGTAGATGTTTGGAATTGTGAGAATAGAGCATTGCAAAATAATACCAAATTTGGAATCTTTTTTTTTTTGTTATTGATGTAAAATTTTAGAGAATAGAACTCTATAGCATCAGTTTGATAATTTTTTACTGTTTAAATGATTAGCCTGGTCCGGATTCCGTTGGAATCGTTGCTATTTCTCATGGTTGCACTGGTGTGGCAGCAAGAGCTTGTGGGTTGGTCGGTCTAGAACCTACAAGGGTGAGTTCACTTCATTTTTGTTTTATGTTTCTTCCCTGCCATATGATTCAACTTCGCTGGGCTGATTTGATTGGCAATATTTCTTTCAGGTTGCAGAAATCCTAAAGGATCGCAGTTCGTGGTTTCGCGATTGCCGGTCTGTGGATGTTCTGAATGTGCTGCCTACTACCAGTGGTGGAACCATTGAACTTTTATACATGCAGGTGAATAATTATGACTCTTGAAGCATCTTTGCTATACAATATTGGATAGGACTGAATAGTACAGTGGACAAGATGTTAACTTCTTTTTTCTCCTTTAGTACTGTCCATTCATGTACATTACTGCATACACTACATGCACTTTGCACGCACTCCATGCTGGCCATTGCCTTGTCTGTGTTTGCTTGACGTGTTATGAAATTTTTGGATTTATCAGCTATATGCGCCGACAACTTTGGCCCCAGCACGTGACTTCTTACTGTTACGTTATTCTTCGGTCATGGATGATGGCAGTCTAGTGGTATGTAATCATTTAAAACCAGTAGCCTAGTGGTATATCTTTGTTGAAAATCCAGTACTTCTTTTGTGTGGCATTAGTTACTCTGGTCTCTGACAAAATCCTCAGGTCTGTGAAAGATCACTTAGCAATACTCAAAATGGTCCGAGCATGCCGCCTGTGCAGAATTTTGTGAGAGCAGAAATGCTGCCAAGTGGACACCTAATTAGACCTTGTGATGGGGGAGGATCAATTATTCACATTGTTGACCACATGAATTTGGAGGTATATTTGTCTTCTATTGTTGTTTCATTTCATCTGTATTATGATTTCTCCCTCTCTTTGATTTAGCTATTCTTTCTTGGTGGAACATGTTCATCATTTTTATTTTCAAACTGTCATGTAAAGAACATCTTAACATCCAAGTATAATAAAAATTGCATGGAAACAAATCATTTCTGACAGATGTTTGCCTGAAAAATTGTAAGCACTTCTGTTTGGGGGCAGACGAATTACATTGTATTGCAATGCTGATTTGCTAATTTTCTTTATTTATGTTGATTCTGTATGCCCGTATCTTTTACTAGGCATCGAGTGTTCCCGAGGTGTTGCGTCCACTCTACAAATCTTCAACAGCACTTGCTCAAAAGACAACAATGGCAGTAAGCATTATGTTACTCTATATAGCTCTTTATAGAATACTTCAAATTTTTGCTTCTGCCCTTCTCCTTTTATGTTTATTGTCTCATCCCATACAGGCTCTTCGCCAACTGAGGCAGATAGCTCTGGATGTTTCCCAGTCTAATGTAACCAATATGGGCAGACGACCAGCAGCTCTACGGGTACTAAGCCAGAGGTTAACCAGGTAGGAATTTTCCACTAATTTTTTAATTTCTCTCATTTTTGTTTATGGTATTCCATTGCACTATTCCTTTTGGCAGGGGTTTCAATGAGGCGCTAAATGGGTTTTCTGATGAGGGTTGGTCATTGATGGGTAATGATGGCATTGATGATGTTACCATCCTTGTGAACTCTAATCCCGACAAATTAATGGGCTTAAATGTTTCCTTCACAAATGGATATACCTCCGTCTCTAATGCAGTGTTGTGCGCTAAAGCATCTATGCTTTTACAGGTTAGCTGACTATACATTAATTTGGTTGACAGATTGCTGTGAAAACACTGATAAATGCGATACTCAATTTTGAAACTATTGAGCTCTACGTTTTTTTATTCTTGAATTTGGCAAACCAAAGATTGTCCTTCATATAGAAATGTTATTACAATGTGCATTTTGTTTTAAATATGGTAAATGTTGTTGCCAAAAACCTAAGGGCCATTTGGTTTGTGTTTCAGTTTTATGTTTTGAGGGTATATTTTAAGATTACTAAAAACGTGTTTGGTTTGTCATTCTAAAAGAACTGTTTCTCAAAGAAGAAAACTAGAAAACATGTTTTGTTTGGAATTTTGAGAAATTGTTCTATAACATTTTATTCTGTGAAATTTGATTATTCAATAAAATAGAATAATTTTATGTTAAGTGTAATAACTTTTTTCCGCTGCAAAAGTAAAATTAAAAACAAATAATAAATTGAGTTGGCATTACGATGTATTATTATTCTTGGTGTTAGGAATTCCATTTGCGCTGCGCAAAGTGTTGCAGTAGTGTTCTTTTTTATTTGGTCTAGAATAGTATTTATGATTTTTTATAATTGAAGAAATTTTGAATTGATTTTGAGGTAACTGGTAGCCCAAGATCTGCTTTTGTCCTTGTACGAAAGGCATGCTTTTTTGTCTCCTGATTTTTTAATTTACATTTTGTTTCATGCACTAATTCTCAGTTTCATTTTTTTCCGTATTCAGAATGTGCCTCCAGCAATACTACTTAGGTTTTTGCGTGAGCACAGGTCAGAGTGGGCAGACAGCAACATAGATGCATACTCTGCTGCTGCTATTAAAGTTGGTCCCTGTAACTTTATAGGGTCTCAAGTTGGTAACTTTGGGGGTCAAGTTATACTTCCGCTGGCTCACACCATCGAGCATGAAGAGGCCAGTAATTTGTCATACTTGACTATTATTGTCAAACATTCTTCTTTAATCTTGTTTATAGTTTCTATTGTTAAATCACTTTTTGACTTATATAGTAATTGTCCTATATGTTTTAACCTATTATTTTCATTTATTTTTGTGCCTTATAATAGTTGCTTGAGGTCATTAAGTTGGAGGTGGTTGGCCATTCCCCAGAAGATGCAATAATGCCTAGAGACCTGCTCCTCTTGCAAGTAAGTTCTTTTCCTTGTCAATTAGAAAACCTTGGTTTCAAAAGGCACGGTTGTACAAGTAGGAGTTGAAAAGCTGTTAGACTTTAACAAAAAATGGCGTCACAACTCACAAGTTACTTGTTTTTTTGAGAACATAAGTGTAGATAAAAGTAGATTAGTGGATCGAAAATGAAGTATTGTAAAATTAAGCATTCTTTTCTGAAGAGTGGACTTTATTTTGGAATATCCAAATTTGAAAAGAGGCATTCATTTTGAAACGTGTGAGTATCTTTTTGCTGCCACCACTTTTCAAGATCGACAGGCTTTTTCGTTGATTACATTTTCCATGCCATTGGTGCTCTCCATCTTATCCCTCTATATCTTTAGGATTTGATATCAATTTTTGAATCTAAACATTCTTCTGGCACTTATATTTTAAATTAATCAAATATAAGACTGATATATAATATAGCTCGCATCTACGACAGAGGGTCTGTTCGATATCTTTTATGTAGAGAAAATCTTGCATGGCTTCTGATACCCAACTCCAAAATTCAAATATTACCTTTACCATTGTCAAACAGTTCACGAAAAAATTGAATTGCCTAGTTAAACATTTATTGTGCGCAAGCAGAGAAGCAACTGTGAGAAAGAATAGAGCTTACAAGCTTTCTACCCTTAAATCAAGGCTTCACACGTGATGCACAAATTAGTGTTATTAAACTGATAAATGATATTTTGCTCTTAAATGATAAATTTATATAAACGGTGCATAAAATTTCTCCATGTTAGTTATGCGAGAGAAAAAAGCTTAATTTATAGAAATGGAGCTATACCCAATGTTGACATACTATAATAAATATAATGTTCAGAGCTTTTATTATATGCTGTATTGTCTGTTTTCTAGCCTTGAAAATGTATTTCCTCGGTTTCCCAATCTATGCATTTTTGCAGCTGTGCAGTGGAATGGATGAAAATGCTGTTGGTACCTGTGCTGAACTCATATTTGCCCCAATTGATGCCTCTCTTGCTGATGATGCTCCGCTTCTGCCTTCTGGTTTTCGTATAATTCCTCTTGATTCGTGCAAGGTTCGTGTTCATATACAAGTTTTTTTGTGATTTCATTTGCATACTTCCACCTTTATACCAGTAAAAAAAAAATGAATCTTAGTGATGAATGAGCTCATCATAACCACATGAATAAATAGGTTTCTATCTGCTCTCAATTTGACAGAGATTATGACTTCTAATCTTTGTTAATTCGATAATCTATTAAAAGGTATAATGTTTCCTAGAAAAAATTCTTAACTATTGCAGTTGACAAAGATGGACTTCCAAGAGGCAAGAATAAGAAAAAAAATTTGCTTAATTTATATGTATATAATAAACCAATTCAAGGGATGAATCTTGAAGTTTACACCAGCCACATTCTGGGAAACTCAATGGAATTGGGCAATGTTTATTTGATAAGCTGCTATGTTTCGTAGGAAAACTCCAGTCCAAGTCGCACCTTGGACCTCGCTTCTGCTCTTGAAACGAAGACTATAGGAAATAAAAGCTCAAGTGGTGATGCTGTTATCAGTGGTGCTACCAGATCTGTAATGACGATTGCATTTCAATTTGCATTTGAAAGCCACATGCAAGAAAATGTTACGACAATGGCCAGACAATATGTACGTAGCATCATATCATCAGTTCAGCGGGTGGCATTAGCACTTTCTCCATCTCATCTAGGCACCCACGGCGGTCTTGGATCGCCACTTGGAACTCCTGAAGCACATATTCTTGCTCGTTGGATCTGCCAAAGTTACAGGTACTTTTAAAGAGTATATACACAAATTTATAATTGTACTTCAACATTATAAATCTTTTTTTATCTTCATTTTACAACGGTCCTGATTTAATCACATTTTTGTTCTTAACTTATTTCAATGGAGCTTTGGGTAGTTCTACTTTCTAAATCTCGTTCACTCTGAAGAAACAATCTTCATTTTGTTTCTCTTCAATCATTATATCTTTGTTTTCTGTTCATATTTTTTGTAAGGTAATCATGGGATTGTTCTTTAATTGGAATCCCACTATTAGTTCAAGCTATTTGGATACATTGTCAAAGACTTTATTTAGTTTAATTTGCTCTTATTAACGTTTTCGCAGAAAAAATTAACAATATTTATGTTCCAACTAATATAACTTGGATTAACTATATAATACACTTCACACACTTTTCTTATGATTAAAGTTTTACTAAGCACAATGAGGAATTTAGATTTGGATTGTACTAGACTTCAGAGAGATTCAGTCAAGCAGAGTCCCAAGATTTGTTGAATTTCATTAGCAATGTTAAGAAACCGAAGGGACAAGTTTAGGTGAACTCAGTATGCTATAATTTGCTTAAAAAGTTTATAGAATGTCAAAGACGATGGTACCAAAGTCATCACGAAAACGAAAGAAACACCTCAAAGAAGACATCTCTCTAGAGGCTATTACCACTTTCATATGTAAGTTCAGATATGGAATGAATCAAATAAAATCACTAATATCTCTCTGTTTAAATACAAAATATACTATTTCACGTGAAGCAATCTGGGTAAAATAAAGGCCCCAGGATGGTTGAAAGTACTTCTTTTTCATAAAGAGCTTATTACAAGGAAAACTTTCTTGGAGCCTTAGGCATTCTGCTTGGTTTATTATCTAAAAGAAAAAGAATTCTTGATCGTGATAGGAGCTATATGGGTGTGGAGCTTTTGAAATCTAGTGGTGAAGGGAGTGAATCCGTCCTGAAAGCTCTTTGGCATCACTCAGATGCTATTATGTGCTGCTCCATGAAGGTACCTATTTATATTTTTGCCTCCTGCACCCCCCTCCCGTGAATTAAATCGCTGCAGATATTGAAGAATAAGAACATTTGTAGCCAAAAAGCCCAAAATTACTCAAAAGTTACTTTTGATTTTGTAACGGCATGATATTTTTCATTTTTCTTAACTTCTTATCTTGCTGCAGGCATTGCCTGTTTTCACTTTTGCAAACCAGGCCGGTCTTGACATGCTCGAGACAACCTTGGTTGCACTTCAAGATATAACTCTCGAAAAGATATTCGATGACCATGGAAGAAAAAATCTATGCTCCGAGTTCCCACAGATAATGCAGCAGGTGAGTCATTCCTTTACATATTACACTATGTTTGATATGCTGGATTGGACCACAATCGACAAGACTAAAGGATAAAAAGAAGTTAAAATTTTGACTACTGTCCTCTGTAGTGTCCTGTGTGGTACTGTGCATTAATGGGTACAATACATGCATTTTGGAAATAAACTGACAGGCAAAATAAGAGCAAAAGGTTCTTTATATCGAAATGAAATATATTTGTATTAATAATAAGATGCTATGTATATGTTAGCTCTTTCCGTCAACCTTAGCCATATTTGTGTAAAATGATCTCTTATTATCTGAAAACAACCGGGAGTTAATATATAATTGTCTTGGCCATGCTTTTGACAGGGTTTTGCATGTATTCAAGGTGGTATCTGTTTGTCGAGCATGGGAAGGCCAATCTCTTACGAGAGAGCAGTGGCTTGGAAAGTTTTGAATGAAGACGACAATGCTCATTGCATCTGCTTTATGTTCGTGAACTGGTCTTTCGTCTAAATATGTGGTTGAAGGATTGAAGGTATTGGACCGTGAAGAACTTAAAAATTACCTTTTGATTTACTGATTATGGGACAGAATCTTGAAGAAGTGGTTGCGTTTGACTCCTTGTTATCATGCATTCTGTTTTCTGTCTTTTTTTCATGTGAAGTTCTATGCTATACTTTCTTGAAATGCCTATGCAAATTGAAGTATAAGTTGTAAGTGTAGTTTGAGAATTGAATTGGTCATTATGTTTTTCTAGTTTTGTTGAGGGCCCATCTCTACATAACCTACCGTTCTTGATGAGCGAATCCACAGCCGTCTGAGCTAGGTAGGCACCTCGACCCACTTTCCGACTGCCCAACTCTTCTACATGTACAAGGATGACCATTTGAGATCGAGTATAACAATGGGAAACTACTAAAAAAATGATATTTTGAATTGAATGGTAACCTTTATACAATTCAGCTACATGCAATACATTGAAAATTCTTTCCTTCGACCAGGGATAAAGTAAGTATGATGAATGAAGAGTTCATTTCTTGATTCCATTAAAAAAGTCTTGGAGAGCCCACCGATATGGAATATTGATCGATCTTCTTGTTCTTGGTCTTTATCGAAGTTTGTGAACGTACACTTTTCATCAATTTGATTCTATGGACAAATAAATATGTCGGAAGAAAGAGGTAAGAGAATCTTATGAAGAAGGTAATTGAAATTAATAATGATTGCTCATCGACGATGGAGTCCCAGTTCTTAATTATTTAATTTTTACTTTCAATGGAATTAAACGAATTTAGTCTTTGCTCGTTTTGGTGTTTTCATTATTCCTTGATTTACATCGAGGTAAGTAATTAATACTCGATTTTCTCGAAAATTATAATATGTGAAATATATAGAAATCTTCGAAGAATGTAAAATCTTCTATAATGTTAAGCAATTGTTTGACGAAGTTTTTGATAAATGTTTTAACATATTTTTGTAAAAAGTTGATTATGCGTGGTGTTAAAAAGTTGATATAATTCCTATTTGGTTGTTAATTTTAACCACACATCTCATGATATCAACGACTTTTCAATCACACTTTTCATTAATATTTATTAAAATTTACTAAAAACCATACACAATATGTATTCTTAACATCTTATTATCTCACAACTAAATCCTCAAAACACTGCGGAGACAATAAGCCCCCTTCTGATATAAATTAAAATCAAATTTTTAGTAGATTTTGATAAAAATTAATGAAATGTGTGGTTGAAAAATCGTGAATCTCATGAAATATATAGTTAAAAGTTAATTATTGACTTTGACTTGGATAAAAATTTCTAAGTGAAATTGCAAGGTATATAATTTTCAATCTTTAGAAACTTTCCCTAGCAAATTATAATCGATTGAACTTCTTGTAACATGATTCGTTCTATAACTATTTATAAAAATTTGACACGACTTAATATATAAATTAATTGAAACTTCGAACCCAATAATTTCAGACAACATTTCTCATGGAAGCTGCCTATGCATTTTGCCTTCTCAAATAATTATGGAACCTCTTTATGAACTCATCAGCAGCTTCATCTATATGATTGTCCTCATCAGCATTTCTCAATGGAAATGGAGAATCTGTCACCCTCAGCTGCTTAACCATAGGGCTCTTCCCGAACCCCGGCAAAGCCGGTGACGCCGTCGCCGCAGTACTAGTAAGCATCTCCAACGTCCTCACCACCGCATTCATAGTCACATAATCCTCCTCCTCCTTCGCCGCCGGCGACGGCGAGAAGGGGGCACGGTGGTGGTTGTGCTTACGTTTGTTTTTGAGGTGGATGGGGAGATGAAAACTAGGATAAGCCGGGCTGTTGCTGCAGCTAAACTCGTATTCATTTGTTGGGTATGGAAATGACAGATTTCCAGCCGCAGCGGCGGCGGCGGAGGAGGAGGCGGACCCGTGGTGGCTATGGTGAAACATGAGATTTTGAATGGCTTTCCCTGCAATCTTCCATCGTTTGAACATCATGTTGAGTTCAGCCATTAATTTACCCTTGGATATCCCTTTCTTCAGCATGTACAACATCGTACGTACTAGGTTCCAAACTTTTTTTGCAATAACTGGTAGATTTTGCTCCATTTTTGTAAATCTTGAGGCTTTAGAGAGAAATAAGTGTTTGATAAATGATTTGTAGAGAGAGAGAGAGAGGGGAGGGAATTGTTTATGATGGTTTTAGAGAGAGTCAAGAATGTTTTCAATTGAATTGGAGGTGCATGGCTATATATAGGGGTCCAAGGAAGTAGACGACGCTGTATTGTACTTGAAATAAAATGACCCGTGGGTGAATGGAAACATCGGGTTAATATCTTTGAACAGTGATATTTTGAAGAATGTATGATTAAAAAGTAAAAAAAAAAAATTGATTTACGTGTAAAATTATTTTATTGAAAAATATGTAGTTGAAATGAATTTGTGTAAAAATAGGTTCAAACAAGGGCTCACCATTTAATATTTGCTCAATTATCGTATGGTCTAGATATGATCAGACAAGCCCAGGGTTCTCTGATGTTCTGTCACAAATTTAATTTATATTAATTAATCATTAAACTAATTGCATATTTTTGTGATTTAATCATATCGGTTATGTAATTGAAACTACGTATATACACGAGGTGTGACGACTGGTCAAGTAGAGTCGACTTGACTCCGAGCTTGGTTCAATCCATGACTCATCTCTATACGAGCTTAGCGACCCATCCTCCGACTAGGGACGAGATGAGACACGAGCCGGTGAGCTGGTCAATCCATTTGTCACCCTAATATCCTCGTGTCTCGAACTTGAAATTCATGATTCTTGAACAATAATATATTGATTATAGTCACTTCTAAGCAAACATGATCTCTAGATTTAAGGCTCGTTTTCATTGATGTTCAAAATCTCGGTCATATAATTGGCTTGAAAAATTTTTAAAAATTTTAAAAAATCAACTAGTCTGTCTTTTGCCCTTTTTGACATCTTTAAAAAGTTACTTTGTTAAAGTTTTTCTGGTTGAAAATCGTGATTAAATTGACATGCAATGTACTAGGAGTACCAAATTAGTTTTTCAAAACACCTTTCCTAACTTTTTTTTTTTTGCGACTCGAGTATTCGAGTTTCGTTTGACTAATCTTGAAAAGTGGTGGCTTTCCCCCCTAATTCGTCACTTGGATAAATCTGGATGCGCTTACAGCTTATACATACTTGAGCTGAACATTCGGGGTGCAGTTCTCCTCCTCGTAGACCTCCATTTATGACGTGCGGATAGGATTCTGGAAGGATAACAAAACTCACCATGAGGACATTTGCCTTTCAATATAAATATTGCCTTCTAACTGTCGCGCGAATTCGAACTTTCAATGTTTCATAGAGAACCCTCGTACTTTACCACTGTATCATGTCCGTGGGGTCAAAACCCCTTTTTCTATTTGCAGTGCGGTTGGTGGTGGGAGCTTTTGATTTTCAAAGTTCAACTCGAGAACAACGTGAATTTTCTTCTCATGGTCTTTTAAAGTAAAGAAACACCTTATGACTTTTATGAAGTTTTTAAAGTTAAAACCACACTTTGCTAGCAATTTTTAAAGCCTTGTAAAACGGTAAATTTTGCATAGTTAAACCCGTCGACCAAAATTCTTCTTTCATCAGCCACCCTTATAACATGTCTGCATTGCACTATTAGTTCGAACCGAACCAGGGACGGAATTAGAATGAAATGTAAAGGTGAAATTGAGTTAAGTTACGAGATCTCTTCGTTGTTTGTTCCCTAACTATTCATGCCATCTTTTCACGGTTAAGGGAAATATGGACGTCACTTCTTATACGAGTTCAAGAAAGTTTAAATACAATCGAACACGTTAATTAATTTTCTAAATCCGAGTCGATATGCTAATTTCTAAACTTAAAATAAGAACTATTATTTAAAAATAAATTGTCGTGTACTAGGATTTAGACGTTAGAATGAGTGGAAAAATGATTGTGGGGGTCCATTTTATCACCACTAATAAATATCAATGTATGTTCCTGCCGTGGACCAACGAAATTATATGCATTTCCTTTACTTAGCAAGGGAGGTTTCCTTTACACGTGTCACTTTGTACCAAATAAAAAATAAACAAAAAATCTTTTTTGAAGCTAAGCTTGTCCCAAAATTAATGCACCTTTTCCTACATTAAGTTTAAACAAAACAAAAGCAGTCAAAAACTCTTTTTCTACCAAATATGACTATTCAATAAATAAATAAAAAGTTGCACATTTTTTTTAATGCTCAAGAGAATGCATGGATCCTACGTTGGACATAAATGAATATAAATTAAGAAGAAATATGCGTTACGTTTGCCGATTATTATGTACTTTTGTGTGTCGCTTATTGACGAAATCAATGAGTTGCTTCAAAGATTTACTTGTAAATAGGCTGGTTCTTAAAAGGACAAGTATTGGAATATCGAAGAAATTACTAAGGAAAGTGGAAACGCGAATATTTCATAAAGATGATTCATTGAACATTAGACGATCGTTAAATCGAGTCGAATACCATATGTCTGCGCGATCTCAATTCGTTATTTTGCGATAAAAATGTAGAACCAACAAATCACACGAACAAATAGTGTTCTCGACTTAATTTCAAAATATCTTAGAATTGAGAGACAATGAGAATGTTAATTAATTACAATTCAGAGGCGGCTTCACTTCACAAGGCAAAATACATGTTTTATTTGTTGTCTTTCTCTACTGTAGAATTTACTTTTAATACTTTATCATTTTAAAATAATTTTTGTTTTTAATAATTTCAAAATATTAGAAGTTGAATTCAATATTTCTATTTTTTTTTAGTATTTTTCTTTTTTCTTTTATTTTTTGATTTTCGTGTTACGCGCTAGAAACTAATAATTTCGTTATGTTAATAAAAGAGTTTACTCTAAGTTATTTATTGGATATAATTTCATTTAAGTTATTTACTTCGATAGTAATCATTCTCCACAGTCAAAAATGTATAAGAAAATAATTTATAAACATAAATAAGCATTCTATAAAAAAAAAAAGGTTGGTTTTAAAAGTAAATTTGGAATTACTTAAAGCTTAGACAAACATGCTTTAAATTAAAAATTAAATCGAAGGTTAATAGCTTAACCCCCAGGCCCACCAAAGGAACACGTGTAGCCATCGTATAGGAAGTTTCTCTTGCTAAGTAAACTTCTGTGGGGTTGGGTTGGGTTGGGGGTGGATGTGGAATGGGGGTTTTCACTCTGCTAACTGACACGTTTGTCTAAGGGGGAGGGTGAAAATTAAAGATTTTTTGTATTTAATTGTCACCATCTTTTCTTTAATTTAAAAATTGGGTTTTCTTCTCAAATTGGAAAAGATGGTAATAATGTCACGACAACACATATTTCACGTGATGATACACTAAATTAGGCTTTCTAGTAAACATATTTTTCTTACAAATTTCTTCTTATTATTATTATTTTTTTGTTAATAAAAAGACGAGCATATTAAATTATCCAGCAATACGTTTTTTCTTTACCATATGAAGTTTAACTATAAACCAAACATGTGTTTATGAAATTATTATATAATGAAACACACTTTTTGTTGACCGTGGACAACAAATGTTGGGCACACTCTCATCAACGCAATCAAATCTCAACAAGTCTTGACCGGAGATCTGGATGGAAAATGGTGACGTTTATGGACATGAGAGATGGTGTATGACACGAGACACAAATATTCGAGTACCGACAATATGATCAAATGTAATTGTAAATTTAACTAACAATCACAAACAACTCAATCAAAGTGAAAATAAGCAAGAGAGAAGATAGGGTATGGTTTGAAGTGTAAAGAGTTGCATTATCCTTCAAATGACATAAGTTGTGAGCTTTTATAAAGTTCTGGCCAATGTGGTAGTCATTGGATAAGAACCACATGACCTCATCTATCAGGTCGAAGTCTCACATCACTCAATATGCTATGCATTTAATAAATTAATAACGAGTTAGCCACCATATACTCTAGACTCATCTATCGTATGGGAGGTTTTCGGTGTGAAGAGCTTTGGAACGAGAGTTTCAGCTTCTTCTTTGGCATCTTATTTGGTGTTTCGGCTTAAGAGTTTCAACAACTTAGATAGCGCTTTGGCTCAGGGCTTCATCCACTTGCTTACGCTTCGATTTCAGGGCTTCGGCAACTTACATGGTACTTTGGCTTCTTCTTTAGCCTCGGTTTTGAGGCGTAACATTTATCTCATTTAGAAAAAGACACGTCAAATCTTGCTATATGTTAAACGATAATTATTGTATTCCAATAATAATAATAACTACATAAAAGAAAAATTGACGCAATTGTCCCACATTTTTACATATTCTATAATTGGTCCAAACCTTTTAAAATTGGTGCGAATGATGCCACATCTTTTCATTTTTCGTCCAAAAGGACCATTAGTTTGGTACTCGGACTGCAAGTTTTTTAAAGAAAAATTGCACATAGATTGAGGAATAAGTAGCTAAACATTAAATTGCTTGAGGTTTCTTTGCACTTGTGGGTCAATTTAGCCTATGTTTGGCGTGGATTAAAATCATATTTTCAACAAATTTTAATAAAAGTTGATGAAATGTATGATTGAAAAATTGTGAGATCCATAAAATACATGGTTAAAATTGAATGTTAACTTTGACTTAAGTTAAAATTTGAATTGTATTCGGTACAAAACAAGGGCTTAGTAATGCATGTCGACTTCCTCTCCAGAGGCCTATATATAGTACTTCGGTACTTCCACTTGCTTCCACACAATCAATCAAAACAACAAATATCTTATTTCTCTCTCTTCAAACACCCTCTCTCTCTTCTCTCTCAATAAAATATCAAAATCCATTTGGGATTTTTCCAAAATTATATACAGAAATGGAGCCAAATCTGCCAATTGTTACAAAAAAGGTTTGGAACATAGTACGTACCATGTTTTACATGTTAAGGAAAGGCATATCCAAGGGAAAATTAATGGCTGAACTCAACATGATGTTCAAACGTTGGAAGATTGCAGGGAAAGCCATACAAAATCTCATGTTCCACCACGCCCACCACTGGTCCGCCGCCGCTACAGGTCGTCGCAGTTCACCACTTGACCTACCAAATGAATTCGAATTCAGCTGCAGTAACAGCCCGGCTTATCTTAATTTCCAGCTTCCATTCCACCTCAACAAACGTAAGCAGAACAACAGTGTTTTCTCTCCGTCGCCGCCGGCGACGGAGGAGGATTTTATGAATATAACTGCGGTGGAGAAGACGCTGGAGGTGTTTTACAGCGCGGCGGCGTCACCGGCTTTTCTGGGATCTGGGAAGAGCCCTATTATTAGGCAGGTGAGGGTAACAGATTCTCCATTTCCACTGAGAAATGCTGGTGGCGATAATCATGTAGACGAAGCTGCTGAGGAGTTCATAATGAAGTTCCGCAATGATTTGAAGAGGCAAATTGAAATTGCAATCCGTCGTCGAGGATCATAAAGTTCACCTTCACAATTTTCATTAATGAAATTGTGTTTGTAACAAAGTTAAGAGTTATAATTTGAGTCTTACGATTAGAAATTAGTAAGAATAAAACGTAGTAAAAACTTTTGCTTTCATCTTTGTCTATAAAAGTTCTGTATGTATATTGCAAAAATTGTACTAATAAAGATAGATATGTAGCTCTCCTGAAAGTATACAATATATGTTTGGAAGATCTTTTTATCATATCAATATTTAAATTTAAATTTTCTATCTCTTGTGTGGGCCTCTATAACGACTATATTTATCATGTTTCCTGTTTCCTGCAAGGTGTAACCATGTTTTATTTTATGAAAAAAATATAAAATTATTATATTTAAAGGGGAACCTAAGTTTCTTAATTAAATTGTTGAATCTCTTTTCTTATTTTTATACCATGTTCCAAAAGCAACTTCGCTTCTTTCTATGTTGGCGGCCTACTTGGTAAGAACCTTAAGAAAGGTGTGTTTGTATTAAAATTGTCACTTTGATTAAAAAAATAAATTTTGTTTGCTGTAGAGAAGTTTATTGAAAATAAAAATTTAATGATATATAATGATTTAAACTTTTAGAGTAAATAATCAATCAGTTCAATACCATTTTAACTTTTCAAAATTGGGTAATTAACACATAACGTCCTCACGTTTCATTACAATTGTGAAAAACGTTCTTACCTATAATTTTTTGGCATTTTCACCATTTTCACATTTCATTAAGCAAAATGTCATTTTCATCAATTGACTCAATTTAAAATTGTGAAATGACGAATATACCGCTCTTTTTAAATAAAACAAAAACAAAAATAAAAATAAAAAAAATTTAATTGTATCCATAGTTCCAATTTTGATCAATTTTCTCATTTAAAAATTATTTTTTTTCTTTTATTTAAAGATAATGGTATATTTATCATTTTTCACAATTTTTAATTGAGAAAATGGATGAAAATGATCTTTAGCGCGATGAAATGTAGAAATAAGGATGAAAATACAAAAAAATGAAAAACAATGACGTTTTCCACAATAACAGAAAAAAATGGAGACGTTATATGTTAATTACCCTCAAAATTAAGTCGAATTACAATTCTTAAGTCGAGAACAAGGGTTGCCAACGTAATTACTATATAGTTTCCATAATTTTACTTTATCTATAATAATGAACTCTAGAGTTTGTGGAAACATATATATTTTAAAAATAAAACATATTTTAATATTTTTTTTTTGTTTTTGCAAATCAAATCAAAATATACTTACAATGCTTATTATTTGTTAAATTTTTTTTTAAGAATTGTTTTTTTTTTAAATACATATTTTTATGAATGTGGTTAAAAAGTAGGAAAAATTTATTAAATTTTTTTGAACAATAATCTTTTTAAAATATTTGATTGAAAACGAGTGTAGGAGGAAATTGATTTTCAAAAAAATCAAAATCAAACGGCACAATCACATTTCCTCATTATTTGGACTTTTTTTTAACATAATAAAAATTATCTTGCTTCTTAAATTTTTTCTCTTGGTAACAAATATAAATTTTAAAATATCTTTTGGTTTATATCATAATTAATAAAAAATAATTTATTTTTATAATAAGCAAAAACTTGTAGTGCAACAATAATACTACGCGAGCCTACTTGTCCGAATTAGATTGGCTTATCCGAATTTAATAACTATGATTTGAAGTTTATCTTAAAAAAATATCATAAAAGGCAAAAATTAATATATAATTTATATTTCTAGAAAGGGACGCGTGTAGTCAGATTATAGGAAGTCTCCCTTGCTAAGTAAAACTTTCTTTTGGAAATAATTCACTCTTTTTAACTGAGTATGACAGAGACACGACACATGTAAATTTTACAAGTGAGTGAAAATGAAAGAAAGAAATCTTTAAATCCCACCACATTTTCTTTTTAAATAAAATATTTTTATTTTTCTTCCTTCGTCACGTCACATTTTCATGTCCAGTCGTTCAATAATTTGGCATACTAAAAAATAATTAAATTGAGGTTTTGGTGCACCAACGGGTCAATTTAGCTAAAGTACAACATTTTAATGCATGTCGTTTTCCTCTCTATAGGCCTTTATATACCACTGCCAGGTGCCTCCATTTAACCAATCCTCTCTCTGTAAAGATCAATTTATCAAACATATTCTATCTCTGCATAACACCAAAATCTACTGAAAATGGAGCAAAATCTACCAATTATTACAAGAAAAATTCGGGACATAGTACGTACTATGTTCTTCTTGTTAAGGAAAGGCATATCCAAGGCAAACTTATTGTCCGAATTCAACTTGATGATCAAACGTGGCAAAATTGCAGGGAAAGCCTTACAGAATCTCATATTCCATCACACTCACCACTGGTCCGCCGCCACCGTTCGCCGCGCCTTGTATGAGTATGGCCCACCAAAAGAATACGAGTTCAGCTGCAGTAACAGCCCGGCTTATTCTAATCTCCATCTTCCCTTTCACCTCAATAAACGTAAACACAACCATCATGCCTATCTCTTCTCCCCGCCACCGCCGCCGGCGACTGAGAAGGACGATATTGTTACCTTGACTGCGATGGTGAGGACTTTGGAGACGCTTAATAGGGCGGCGGCATCACCTGCATTGCCGGGGTTCGGAAAGAGCCCTAAGGTTAGGCAACTGAGGATTACAGACTCTCCATTTCCATTGCAAGATGTCAATGAGGGGGACAATCATGTAGATGAGGCCGCGGAGAAGTTCATAATGAAATTCTACAATGAATTGAGGCGACAAAATTAAATGCAATTCCTTTTCAGGGTCGTCTTAAATTTGTAGTGTGTAATTTTCATAAATGAGCTGTGTCACACATCAAGTGTTCGAGCATGTAGGTATGTAATAAAACTAGTGATAAGGTTTGATCTCTGTTTATGACAGTTGGGTATGTATAGTGTGGAAATTGTATATATTAAACTTATAAAGATATGTACTGTGTACAAAGTACATACATGTATGTTCAGAGACAATTTTATAAATTCAGCTTTTTCAATATTTTTATTTTCTACTTTATTTGTTATTTTTTAGAATTTTAACTGATTCTTGGTAAAATTATAAGGAAAATGCTGTTTTACCGGGCCTGGTAAAACAGCTCTTCTCACATGAGGTGGGTCCTCGGGAACCACCTCATTAAAAAAAACCCCCCAAAATGTTTTATCACCCACCCCCCTATCACTCAACTACTCTACCAGATCTTGTACCGATCTGGTAGAGTAGCACGACTCAAATTATAAAACGAAGTAGATGGTATTAAAGTTTCTGACACTGCAATCAACTCATATTGAATCTTGTTTAATATTTACACTAGTCACACTTTAGATGGGATTTTGAATATAAGCTATGCCCCCGTTTGGTGCACATTTTGAAGGTAAGAATACATTTTAACTGTTGATATGATGGGAAATATGTGGTTGAAAAAGAAAGAAAAGTTATTGATATGATGGAAAATATTATTTTATTGAAGGATATGTGGTTAAAAATGAATAAAAGAATGAAAATGAAAAAAATAATGTGGATCAAACATGGCCTATATATTAAAGCCCCTATTTGGTGAAGAGTAAAGATTAAATTTCTAGAAGATTTTATAAAAATTGACTAAATGTGTGATTGAAAAGCTGTGAATCTCATAAATGTATTATTAAACCCTTGTTTGATGCATATTTTGAGTTCAAGAATGCATTTTTTTGTTTGATGTGATGTGGGAATATGTGGTTGAAAAAGAAGGAAAAATTATTAATGTGATGGAGAATATTATTTTATTGAAACATGTGTGGTTAAAAATGAGAATGGAAAAAATAATCAAACAGGGACTAAAAATGAATTTGAGAAAAAATGAAGTCAAAGAGAAGCTGAATAACGAGAAGATCTTGAACCTTCACCTAATTTTTTTCTTTGTGAAAGTTGAAAGTGAAAAATTGTATGATACTAAACTATCTTTACGAGTCTATGTTTTTTTGGAGCAGGCCATAATAAGTCTCAATAAGCAATATAGGTCGTAAATTGTAATGGATCGATTTTCTTGTATAAAATTTTGTCATATTATATAATATAATTTATTAAAATTTAAATTGAAGTCGAGTCATGAAATTTAAGAACTTGTTGAAATGTGTTTGTCCCAACTCGGTTATTTGCTGTATCGAGTCTGCTTGTGTGTTTAGAATTGATTATCCCAACTTTTCACACTCAATCACCCACGAGAATACCGTGAATTATATGACAGAAGTTTAACCCTCATTGCCTTTTGAACTTGCCCTCCAATTCTTAGGCATCCTTCGTGTGTCATTTGTGTATACTCCATGACTATTCTAGCTTTTAAGAAATAGAAGTTTTCTTCGTTTTATAATATCATTATTGATTTGATAGTCGGAAGTGAAAAGAAACTATATAGTATCTTCCTTTACGACTCTAGTCACGTTTCTTCATAGTAGGCCATGAAGTCTCGACAAACTATAAGGGCTGTAATAGATTGAGTTTTATGATTTTTTTATTTATTTAATGTGAATGTAATTAATTTACGACAAAATTATCAAAAATGAGAATTCATTTATTAAAATGTGTTTGTCCAACTCTATATTGTATTGTAGTTCATCGTCTCGAAAAGAATTTATAAATAATAACATTTGAATGTTTGTAGGTCGGCACAATAGAATGTCTTGACTTTGACGTAGATATCATTCATATTTTTGTGTCACGTCACAATCATGCTATTTGTACCGAAATAATTGGTAGAAGAGGTTGATCGAACACTCACAATAAGGAACACTTTTTTGCAAAATTTTTTATTCACACTGGTCCGCGCGCATGTGAGAGGTTGTCAATCCCTTCTGTCAATCATTTCCTGTAAAAAGGAAAAATCCTTTCATTAAATGTTAAATAATCGACAAAAACGGAATGAAAATATTCATAGATAATTAAGTTTATTTTCAAATCATTTGCTCTCTATGCAAGACAATAATATCTCAATCAATTCAGATAACTAAAAATAATGATAGTTCAAAGTGGATAAAATTTGGGATAAAACTAAGCGGCTAAGCCAGGTGTCCAAAATGGTTGCCTTTGAGATAATTGGGCGTGCAGCCTTCGGCACCAAGCCAAGTTTGCAGTGGAATTATTTTTCAGTCTTCTTCATTTGGATGTGATCCAAAGTTTATAATTTCTTTCAATCAAGTCCTTTTGGCATTTGTGTGATTCGTAGTATCTCGAAGCGGCTGATTTAATCCAAGACTTGTGTATTGTCAATTCTTATTTAATAAAATCGACTATACACTTATATACAGTATTTATTCGCTATGAAAGTGCAAATTGCAAGTGCATGGACTACGTTCAAATAATAAGTGAACATTTTAGAAGAATGTATACTTTATAATTACACAAATTTAATCAATTTAATTTTAACAATAAAAACAAACAAACAAAACACACAATAAATATTTAATTTTAGAAAAAAAAAAAGTAAAAACTCTAAAAAGTAAAAACTAAGAAAACATAAAAATTTGAAAAATTTTGGAGGAAAAACGTGATTAGGAAAAACTTGAGAAAATGGATGAAAATGACATTTTGTGTAATGAAAAGTTGAAATAGGAGTGAAAATATCAAAAAATGAAAGATAATGACGTTTTCTACAATAAAAGTAAAAAGTGGACACGACATGTACTAATTACCCAAAAAGAAAAGAAAGAGAAAGAAGAAAAGAAAAGAAAAACCAGAAGAAAAAAGATTCCCATTCCAACCGCAGTTGCTGGTTTTAAAATTAAAACCTAAAAAACTTGTAGCCACGTCCCCAATTTTTTGAATAAATATTAAAATAGCCCCAAAATTCTTTTTATTTTTTAATTAAATCTGGCGCCAAGTTTCAGTCAAAAACCAAAAATTGTTTTTATTTTGCAGCCAAGTCCTCAAAATAATTGCAAGTCAGGTACCTCAACTTTTATCTTATATAATTTGGTCCTCAAATTTGAATTTCATATCAATCACGCCCTCCAAAAAAATCAGCATATGGTCCTTCAAATGTACTTTGGTCACCAACTCCATGATTTTGCACACCTTTAGTCCATTTTCCTCTTTTTGTCTTGTCTTGTTCTCATTCTATAGGTGATTTTTTGGCCTACAAAAGCAAATGTTACCTTATTGAGAGTAGAATTTCATTGATTGAATCAATAATAGATCAAATTAAGTGCTCAAAAAGTGTGCAAAAACACACTTATTATTTATTATCGTATTACCAAACATCATCTTCAACTGATGTCAATCATCATCTTTTTACTCATGAAGAATATGTTGTTGTCATTCTTCCCTCACTTCCCGAGAAATAAGTTGTGCTACCTGCGTACGCATCTTGGAGATTGATTGCAAGGCATAACATTTTGTACTAGAATGTACATCTTAGACAAATGAAAAAAATAAAAGTTCACCATTTCTAATTTCTTTTCTACGTATCTAATATACCCGTATTAAAAAGTTGAAAGATAACTTGTACATTGTATATGTTGTGAAAACAATGTAATTGAATCCACATACCCAAAAAGCATTAGCTTTAAAAGACTGCAAGAAGGCGGGATAAGGTGGCAACCTAAAAAGATTACTTTTCATAAAGTGCCATTTCTTTCATGCAAAGCTTTCCCCTAAACCATCCCCCTTCTATAATAAGGTGGTCCTTGCATTTCATATTACAATCAAATCATACTTTCGCTCCTCATACATGGCCATAGCTCGAAGATGTCCCTAGATGACTGCGTGTAAATAATTATTAAATTTAGTACAACATGTGGTCGATATTTTGACGGCTCATTTAATGTTTGACAAGAGTAGTCGTGTTAAAATATATCGGACCATCAAAATTCAAAATGGCTCGACATTAGGGGTCCTCGACTTGTCTGAATGGGCTTGTTTATATATATCACGTGGAGTTGTAATATGTTCCAAGAGTTAGACTATTCGCCCACTAAAGCGGTACTTGAGTTGGGTTCACAACGTCATGAGACAATTTGGTCCATATTTAGTGTAGATGTTAGAGCATAGAGAAGGATGTATTCCTAGGTACCAGTTTTCGTGCCAACACCTAGAAATTGAGAATAAAATTGGATAGTTTATATAATTGTAAATGTATTCTTTAAGAGTATAGTCTAGGATTAAATGAAAAAAGGGCATAAAATAAAATTAATTTATCAAGTGACAATTAATATATTATCGCTTATTATATACATACATACATACATAGTTGTGAATTTATGTTGTAGGAGCACTATATTTTTCATGTAAATACAGGTGTATGCATGTATAATGGCCAACAAAGTCTGGTTTAACAATTGGGTTTTCCTTTAAATAAATGAATTTAAACCAGAAACAAAAAGCAAGAACTGAAAGTGGCTCCCAATCGGAAATTGGTGGATTTTAGTGCTCAATTATTGAATTATTTTATGTGTTTGATACGCCAAGAACATACTTCCAATGTTTCATCTGGCTCCTTGGTCCTAGCAACTTTTAAAATATTTAGGTTGAGTGCAAAAAACACATAATGAAAAGTGTTAACCATAGGTTTGATGACGAGCAGCATGGCATGAAAGATAACAATATTCGTAAACATGATAAATCTTACCTCGTAGGTTTTGTCATCATGAAAAAACTTGCCCTTTATGTTTTATTACTAGTTGGAACTTATATGTCTATTTTTGTCTACTTGATACTACACGTACGTAAAAGTGTACACTCAGGTTTACACTCTCTTACACGGAGGGTGGCCCACGTAGGTCTATGTAACCTAAAATTGATAAATAATGAGAAGTGGCATCAACATGACAAACCTTGCCTCTAAGATCTTGTCAACCCGACAAACCTTTCCTCGTAGGTCTTTGTAACCCGAAGTTGCTTGTATAATTATCAATACCTTAAAAAGAAAACACTTTCAAGACCCTATTGAAATAATTAATGCCACTTTACATAATTTGATCGGTAGACGATAATAAATAATGTTTGTAATTATCCATAACAAGAGTCTGACTCATACTTTATCTGATTCATACAGAACTATTAATGTTGTACAATCAACCATAGTACATATCTGAGACCCTAAAAGAAGCTTTAGGTAGCAAAGTATAATTGCAAAGATATATGCATCTGATCCAATGATTCATATTTGTAGATTTTTATCCATATCCATTAAGGATAATGTATTTTTATTAAATGAAGAGCTTATTTACAAAAAGTTTGGACCCTTTTAATCCAACTGATCCATAATTGTAGATAGAGTACACATCAGTCCTCTTCTTTATTTAACTTACAAATATACTACCCAACTTTATGAGTTTTTCTTTTTCTATCTATACTTTATTAAAGGTAATGGCAGTGTATATATACATATATTGTGCAGTCTGTGTCCCACTAATTATTTCACCAAGTAGACAAGGGCACTATTATCTGGAAATAAAGACTATTTTGGAATCTAGGACCACATTATTTAGTCCATACCTATTATATAGAGGAACTTTTGCTCACAACCCTAACAATGTCTATCCATAAATTATAAAATTTAATGCTATTATTTTTGAATTTTTTTTACTTATCTTATGCAAGCTACTTGTTACCTCAATTGAGGCGAGTGCAGCACGAGCCAAGCTTGAAATTTCCTATGTGGTGGCTAGCTAGGTGGCCTCGAGGGCTCACCTAGTGAACTGGCTTGTGAGCCAGCTTATGGGTGGCCAATTTGCGTGCTAGGTGGTTGCTTTTTGCAACTGTTTGTTCAGTTTTTTAGGGAGCGTTTAGTTTGCAGTATTCAGTTTTCAATTTTGTAAAATATTTAAAACCGTGTTTTATCTAGTATTTCTGAAAATGCATTTTGGAAAACAATGATAAACTTATAATACAAAACTTAAAACACATTTTTGACGTTTGAATGTTTTCAGTGAAAATTTTGAACAATGATTATTTACATAAAGTATTCTCAGTCCATGTTATTAATTTTATTTTAACTCAATTTATTATTTGTCTTATTTTACTTTTGTAGTGAGAAAAAATATTGTAAGATTCAACCATTTTAACGACGTATCTCACTCATTGGTAGTGACTTCGTTGAGTAAGCGAAGTTGTGGTAAAAATGAGGTGTGAAAAAATAGTGTGGTCACGTTTAAAATTTTAAATTATGAGGCGTGTCTTGAAGTTACCCGTACTTCTAGATATGTTTGCCATGTGCGATTTTCAATATTATGAATTCAATAAAGATTGATCGATCTTCAAAAAAATTAAAAACAAGAAAATGTTGTTGGAAAATTTATGCTTCCTGAATAACTGGGCCTTGAGCGATCCACTTAGTTAAAACAAGATTCAGTCCAGGCCTGTGACTTAATTTCATTTCACTTATTAATTAGTCAAAAGCCCAATAGGAAAATAAAACTTGAAAAAATAAAAAGAAACGCCCACCGTGGGGCTCGAACCCACGACCACAAGGTTAAGAGCCTTGCGCTCTACCAACTGAGCTAGACGGGCTTCTTGGAAGTAAGTGATCTTAATATACTAATAAATGCCTTTATAAATTTTAGAAAATGGAATTAGTAGCCGTTGCCGGGGATCGAACCCGAGTCATCAGCATCACAGACAGGACTATTCACCACTATGCTACCACGAGTTGCTTGCTATGTGTCCTTTTTCTTTTTTAAAATAGTAAACTCATTTATTTGTTCAATGAGTAATTCCAAACACGGTCTTGTTAGTGAAGAGAAATTTGTTTACTAGATCCAATTAAAGTGAGCTGCAGAATTCATAGATGATCGAGAATTGGTGATTTTAATTAATTAGCACACAACTTTGACCTACTCGCAACTACCAATAATCAATTAGGTCAAGTCCATGCCCAATGGCACGCCACCTGCCTTAGTCTCCTTTTATTTAGTGGTGTTTGGAAGCAATTTAATTCACACCCACAAGTTTACAACTTCATTTTCACGAAATTAATTGAAAGCGAATACAAAATTAACACTTGACAAATACATTAACGTTCTATTTGGCAAAACTTCTGCTTTTACTTCGATTCATTGTAGAAGAGCTTATTGACGCAATTATTTTAGGTCAACTTTTCTAAAATCTCTTTTAATCGGACAAATATTTTTAAAGAATTATCGAAATATGTTCGAAAACAGTTTTTCTTAATCTTAGAAGCAACGACTGATTTTTCAAAAACCTTGACAAATGGACCATAAACTCATAGTGTAACGATTATATTGTAAAAGTTAAAGTGTATGCTTAAATTCCTCTTCAATGCTAATGTATCTTTTTTATGGTCTAGAAAAATAAATCGTCACTAACTTTAAAAATAAAAAATAAAAAAATTAACAACTTTGCACGATGTGGTGGAGGGACAATTTCTTGATCATAGACAACCACAAGAAAATAAAGAATGGACGGATACTACAATGTTTGTCGATGTTACAGTTCCAAATAGTTTTGTGGGCATGTGGATGCATAGCTGCCAATTGTAATCCTCATATCCCACCAAATTATCCACACTTCTGTCCTCACATTTCAATGTCTCCCTCAATTATGTCTATTGCGACCTGACGTTAGTCCCAACCATACGCTTGTTTGGTACCTCAACTCGACCACCTTTTTGGTAAAATAAAATAAAAAAGTTTATAGTATTAAGCAGTGTTCTAAAAGGCGCTCCTATGTGCACTTTTTTTTTTTTTCACAATTCTTTTGAAGTTAAAAATTATTAAATGCTAATTTTTTCAGTTTGCCCTAATTTAAAATTAAAACAACCATTTGAACCCAAAGTCAAGTGATCAACGAATCTTATTTACGGCAGCAAGTGATGCAATTAATGCATAATCTTAGATTGTAGAGGGTTGTGATGATGAGGAGTGTGATTGGGTGGAGACGAATAGGATTTTGTATCAGAAAACACGGAAGATGAATTAGATGAAGAAAATGTTATTGAATTGGAGTCCGATAAAGAGTTAAATAAAATTCAAGTTCATATGCTATTTATTAACTATTTTGTATTTAAATTTGAAACTTATATTTTTGTTGAAAATTTTGAAAAAATTTATAAAGTTCTTATAAATATGTTTTAAATGTTTAGTAAATATTATTTTTAATTGATTAAAAATTAAAATAATACTAAAAATAACGCATTTTTACGCATATGCCTTGCCTAACCTTGCTTAGCCCTGGGCTTGACCTCCACGCATCGCCGCACATTATGCCTTTTAGAACACTGGTATTAAGTCCATGTTTGATTCAATTAAAAAATTGAATTAAAATTTAAGTCAAAGTAAACAAGTAACTTTAACTATACATTTCATGGGGTTCACAATTTTTCAGTAATACATTTCATTAATTTTTATTAAAATCTATTTTTATCTAAACCAAACTTGAGCTAGCTGAATAACAAACTAAATTGAAATCATAAATTACACTATCTAAACTGTTAAGGAATAAAATCCCACATCGAATAAAGATATAAACATAGACCAATTTATAAGAATTTGTGCTACTTCCTTTAATAATGTACTTATCCCAATTCTTGACATAAGCATGGCAAGTTTAACTATATCGAATTTCGTGCAATTCTTTTTTGTTGCCATCGCCATTGTCAACTTATGGTTTTTACGCAAAATTATGTTACGTTCTAAGAAGTAAAAAGTGAAATTTTTAATCGAAATGACTATTATACCCCTTTTGGCCAATGTAACCTTGTTATTTGCAGCAAGTCACGAAATGTAACCAAAAAGACAAATATTGAGGCATATTTGAAGGAAAAGGGACAAGTAGGTTTGTTGGTTTCCTTTACTAAAAGACACACCGTTTGTGGTTCACCATTCGTGTGTCAGTTTACATAGGCGAATTCTCGCATGGCATCATATATTAACCACTTAAAATCAACTATGAGTTCATCTTTTAAATCAATTCATAGAATTTTACTAGCGATATAAGACTCGAAAGTAATCTCTTAGTCCCCATTAGATTTTGATAAAAAAATGATAAAATATTTATCATCACCTTTCACGGGTATTAAGCGCGTGTTCGGTAAGGATTAAAATCGAATTAAAATTGAAAAACTAGCCATTATTATTGATTTTCATTAGATGAGTGAGACCCAATAACGACAATATTTTCAATTTTAATTGAATTTTAATCCTAGCCAAACGAAATTTAAACGCCACATAAATGAATTATATGATATTAAATTATAGAGGTGCTAGAAAACATTATTACAAAATTAATCATTGCAATGCAACGCCTCTTCTTATCTTCTTGTAATGCATGGACCATGCAAATTCACTCACTCAAACGGTGGTAAGTGCTACGTATGGTTACCCCTAATGAAATACAAGTTTACAACCAAACACGCCCTTGATGGACAATCCTACGAAGTATGAACCAAGATTTGGAAAAGAACAGAAAGTACAGAGGATAGAGGATGTGAAAATTCTTATCCCATTTCTGGTATAAATGCTCTAACTCAAACACTAGTGAGAGAAAGAAGGGAGAGACCTTTTCTTTTCTTTCTTCCTCCAAATACTCTTGACTTACTTATAATTCTGTCACCATGTTCGCCGTAAACGGAAGCACTTTTCTGGTAATTTAAGTATTTCCTTGCTAATTTTAATTTTTCAGCCATGAATTTTCTGGGTCAGGTTAAGCATAACCCATATCGCAAATCTCATGTTTAAAAAATACCCACTTTGTAAAATGTGTGGAAGTGAATTCGTTTTTTTTTTTTTTATTTGGATGTGATTTTATCAGTTTTTTTGTTGATTTTATGCAGAATAATTCGCTTTCTGGGGTACCCAGAGTCTTTCCTCGGTCTACACAAAGAGTGGCAGCTCCACTAGTGGTGGTGGCTGCCGTGAGCTCAAATGGGCGTCCCGGAGATCGAAACGTCAGCGTATTGGTGGAGAATACTTCGAAAGAAATGGTGGAAAGTGCTACATCATCATCATCACCGTCAGCGATAGACAAAGAAGCCAAATCAACCGTTGGAGGTGGAGTTGAAGACGTGTATGGTGAGGATAGTGCCACAGAGGATATGCACATCACGCCCTGGACTGTAACTGTTGCCAGGTGATGAATCCTGTTTCTTTCTTTATTTTATTTTCGTATATTGTAGTTTCGAGAATTCTTATGTTCCAATTTTACTGATCATTTTTCTTTTCCAGCAAAAAAAGAGTGGATTTTTATGTGTCATCTTTCTGTGGAAAGTAATAATTTTCGAGTTCTGTGTATTATAAATGACTCCATTTCTATAATTGATTTTTTTTTCCCTTTAAATTTAATGTTTTCAAAATGTTAACAAATTTTCTATTCCTTCGTCTTGTTTCGTAAACAAAGTGATGTATTTAAGCCTCTGTTGAACTTCTATACTCATAATTTTTTTCTCAAGAAAAAGTTTGAAATGTAAAATGAGATATCATGTAAATCTTGGTTAGACATTTTTAGTCTCCCGTGAGTTCTTATAATCGATCTTGTTTATGCATGGAAAGATGATGGTTTTTCGTCCCTGCAAAATGTTTTCACTCAGAAACGGTATTATGGTAGCCTAATAGCCTTTTGAAGCAGAGAGGATCCAATAGTTTATTGCATTTTTTAAAACTTAATGGATTTGGAAAAGCAGAAGAGTGATGAGATGATTGATCCCTCATGATGTTCTATTGTTTTCCTCATAAGTTGTATCGTTGTCGCGTTATTTTTCATTTGTTTGCTTACACAATTTATTTATTGTATTGCAGTGGATATCAATTGCTACGAGATCCACACTACAATAAAGGGCTTGCCTTTACTGAGAAAGAGAGGGATGCCCACTTTCTGCGTGGTCTTCTTCCCCCCGGCGTTGTTAGCCAAGAGATTCAGGTCAAAATGTTAGATTGTATATTAGCCCATGTTTGATAACCATTATTTCAAAACTCTTGGGCTTGTTCTCTTTGTCGTTTTCGGGCCGTTTTCTGTTTTCGATTTTCCAAAACGCGTTTTCTTTCCTATTTTCAAAAACGAATTTTTGAAAACACAAAAAAAAAAAAAAAAAAATTGTACACAAAACGGAAAAC